TTGTAGTAGAGATCATATTTTTAGATTTGAAAGAAGACTTGGTTTGCTTACCCATTTGACAAGCATCACAAACTTTATCTTTTTCAAATTTAAACTTGGGAAGACCTCTAACCAAAGAATTCTTGGAAATATTTGAAATTAAGTGCATGCTAGCATGTCCTAGTCTTCTATGCCATAACCAAGAATCATCATGCAAGACCGATAAACATTTATCACTAATAGGATAATCATTCAAATCAATAGTATACACATTTTCATCTCTATTTCCAACAAATAAAACTTTTCTATCACTAGCATTTTCAATGATGCAATTCTTTTTATCAAACACAACTCTAAATCCTTTATCACACAATTGACTAATACTAAGTAAGTCATGCTTTAAACCATCAACCAAAAGTACATCTTCAATCAAAATAGAAGATTCATTACCTATACTACCCTTACCTATTATTTTACCTTTCTTGTTATCACTAAAGGTTACAAAATCTCCATCCTTTTTGGAGAAAGTGACAAACTTGGATTGGTCTCCCGTCATGTGCCTTGAGCAACCACTATCCAAGTACCACTTACTTTTCTTGGAAGCTTTCAAACAAACCTACAAACACAAAAATTTAAATTTGATTCTTTGGTACCTGTAACGCCCCGCATTACTCAGGTTAGCTTGCCTCGAGTTCCGGGAAATTTTTATAACAAAATAGATTTTTTATTTATTTATTTATTTCATTTTATTTTGTTTGATTCATCAGTTATCTTTATTTAATTTAAGTGTGGCATCTCGGCTAGTGTGTAGTGCTACAGAATTAGTGGTGAGTTAGTAGCGTGTAGTTATTTATCAAATTATGGTTTAGTACGGATTCCGCTATGTGACACTTGTTTTAGGCTAATGGACCATTTACGAAATTATATTATTGGCTTGTTTTAACAAGGAGGGGTTAGGTAAGTGGGCCTTAAATAAAAGGAAAAGAACCTAAGCCCAAAGGAGTTAAAGTTTTAAAACAAAGAAAAACCCTAGCCCTTGTTCTTTCCCCTTCTTCTTTCCTCTTCTTCTTCCTCCCTTTCCCTCTCTTGTTGAAGTCGCCGGCCACCCCCCACTCGGGTTCTTCTTCTCCGGTGAGCAGCTCCGTTCA